AGAAGGAGATGTAGGAAATGTATCATAGTAATATATACATTGTCTAACCTGGGCTAAGAGATGACTTATATTACTCATTTTATCACTCATCAGATGTGTTACATATACACACACACACACACACACATGTAGATATACTGTATGTGTGTATATATATGAGTATATATATACACATACACATACACACACACTGTATATGAATGATGGTTGGATATATGAAAATGAGGGAATAGGCTCAGGTTGGAAAATCATTAAGAAATAAATGATATATCCTGATAACATGTTGGAGAGTTCAGCAATTCCGTACACAGGCAACACTCTAAACTCATCAAACCATTTAACTGTCTTCCTCCCTAACTTGAAACAAAGAGATAAAGAAGCAAGTACAAATGACAATAGACGTTATTCATAGCGTGCTATCGCTCCTGTGATTATGTTACTGAAAAGGAGAAAGGTAACGAAATAGGTTACCAAAATATATATATGATGGTTGGATATATGAAAAATGGGTTAGCAGATTCAGATTGGAAAGTCAGGCATATGAATTAAATGTAAAGAGTTGATACTCTCTCAGAGATTTGCAGTACTGATCCTGAATTCTTGAAGCTAAATTTAGTAATAAAATAGTACATTTTTCCAGGCAATTTTTTTTACCTTTTAGTCATCCACAAAACTTTAAGACTGCTTTGCAGATCTCTTAAATCAAAGCAGTTTGATCTGATCCCTTTTGTTTTTATTTAAGGACTGTGCCCCATGTGAATGGGCAGCATAATTCATCATGCCAGAAGATAGCAAGTTTTTTCAGCCATGCAGGGCAGGTTGCAAAGAACCCATACCTGCAGCCACCATTCATGCCACCATTCCTCACTTTTTGGGATGCCCTATGGTGACTTTTCCAATAAATCTTAAGGTGCCTTTTCCAAACCTGAATATATTGGGATAAAAAATGCAGACCTCCTCCCAGAGTGGTATTCATACCATTTATTTGCAATGTCTATGACTTGAATGTTTTCTGTTTTTGTTTTTGTTTTAATTCTCTAAGGACACATGAAATTTGAGCAAATATATTGAAGGTTTCTGTATTAGGAGTGATCCTCTCCCTCCATATGCAGCTGTCTGGGAGTATAAGACAAGATCTCAACTGCCCAATTGCCCCATCACCCGAATGGGCTGGCAACATCTTTTGGAAGGCAGAAACACATGACGTGGTGCTCTGCTAGTCAAACCTACTTCTCTTTACTTTATTTTGCTTCACCTCTGAAATCCACTTTACCATGTTAAAGCCGTTAGAATAACACACTGCAGTTTTGGGCAAGTAAGCCCATCAGCTGATATGCTGCTGTACCCAGTGCCAAGCATTTCCACACACCCCAGTATAAGATCATTGCTGGATTGCAGTGCCAACTGTTACTGGTGGCCTGATACAAGAAGATGTGTAGTAATTACTATGTTTTTGACCAATACTCCCTAAAATGTATGGATAAATAAATGAATAAAAACAAATAATATTTCTTTCACACTTTTCCCTCTTATCAATGCATAAAATGTCACAACTGACTTGCACATAGATTTTAGCAACAGTTGTCATTCATAGTGTTGTATCACACATTGGAACATATGACCAGTCTACAAATGTGTAATTTGGCTACTCAGATGTAAAACATTGTATTACTCAGAAACTTAGTTTAGAACACTTCATGACCATTGTTTTTAAACAAATCATTTTTAAACAAATTCTGGTCATGACACCAAAACATTTTCAAATATCATAGAAACATAGGGTTGGAAGGGACCTTGGAGGTCTTCTAGTCCAACCCAAATATAATTGTAGGCAACTGGGTTGCAAATACTGATTTTATTTGCACTTCTTGATATTACTCCTTTTAAATTGCAGGCCAGATGGCTGGGATTGTTTTCACTATTGTTTAAAGCATGTTCATACCATGTTCTTTGTTCAAATACACATATCACAGAGTAATGCAGATTTAAAAGCTGACACAGGAAAATGGATATTTAACTTCAGACTGGAAAGTCAGGTATATTTGTGGCATTCCTGAAATACTGATCTCTAAGTATCACATTCTCTAAGTATATGGAAGATTTACAATACATACCTCAGGTAGATTTAAGGCCTAAATTTAAAAATAAAACAGTACAGTTATTCCTCCATTCTCTCTCTCTCTCTCTCTCTTTTTGTCATCCATAAAAACTTTGCAAATCTCTTAAACTCAAACAGTTTCAATTGATCCCTTTTATTCTTATTTAACCTCCCCCTCCCCCAAAAAATCTCTTTGGAATTTGTTAGCATAACCTATTCTATTCATGTCAAACAATATATTACAACACATTTGGTCGTCGAAGGTCCTGTCACCTTAGGGCAATTAATTTAAAATTTATTTAATCCATAGCTGGCAACCTGGTTTCTTTACATTCTAAACTGACTTTGATCCAATGAACTCAGGAAAATGCACTACTTTTCAAAACTTCCCATTTCCTATAGTATCTACCCAGATTATTTGAACTGGTGGGTTGGTGTACTCCAGGTTCCTTCAATTAAACAATGCCATTTATCAGGACCCCGGAAGCCACCTTCTCCATAGCAGCATCTGCCTCCTGGAATGAAGCTGCCCCTGAGATTGGGTGGCTCCCAATCAAGAAGACCTTGAAGACCTGGCCTTTGGTGAGGATGGTTGAAACCCCTCTGGGTAGTGTGGGTATGTCTCTTGTTGTTATCCATTTCTGGTCATCTTGGGTTCCTTGTCTTATTGTTGTCTTATTTTATTATTATTTTTCTGTGGTTTTACTTTGTGGACTGCCCAGAGTTGTTGTTGTTGTTGTTATTTCTGGGCTCTTCCAATCTGCTGACTTCAGCTGCTGGTTTCCCATGTGTGAACTCACTGGAAATCAAGGTAACATAAGAAATCCCTTTCTGGATTTCAACCCTTTCCTCCACTTTGGCCACAGTAATGGGTAAGTGCTCTCCAACTGATAGATTCCCCTGCTTCTTTTCTCTTCCCACCCATGCTGGGAAGGACACATGAAGCATTTCCCATTTTGTAGGTAAATTTGTTAAGGACTGGTAAAAAGAGAAAAAGGCAACAGATTTACACTTCTTCCTATCACTTGGGCTAGAAGGGCAAACTTTGTAGAACTCTTGTCAATTTAACTCAGTTAAAACAAAGCAAGCAAAATTAAAAGTATGGCCAGCATTTCATCCTTTCCTCTGCTGAACCTGTAAAAAAATAAATAAAACCACCAAGGTCCAGCTTTCATGGCACACAGGGCAGCAGCCCAGAATGACATGGTCACTGAAGGCAGAGAGTGGAAGCACTGGGGAGGCCTCATACCCAACAACACATACACAGCTGACTAGAATGGAGGAGATAGCAAAGTAGGTGGACTCGACTGCCTCCTGTTGTACCATCAGGAAGAACATTACTCTTGATGCATAGCAAGAAAGCCTGGATGGAGGTCATCTTCCCAGCAGGGTGTCCTGCCCTCTCAGAACAGTAGGTGGCTCATCATTATGCTACGCAAGCAGGTGGTATAGATCAGCACTAACTCGCCCAAAACAGAATGTCTTCTCTCAGTAAAACATGCAATTGCATTCTTGCATCTCACTTAACATCTTGCTAAACATTTAGGACAGATATCAGAAGTACTCATTAAAAGACAAAATAGCCTTACCAAAACACTTTCCTTTGGGCAAAGGAGAAAGACGAGAAGAACAGAAGCTACAGCCTGGAGATGCATCTTGGCTTTGCTTCGCAGTGTTTCAGGAGTAAAATCACTGAAGTGAAGATGGACAACTGCTAGGATCTATATTTATAGCAGGCATCTGGCTGGAAATTTCAAGGATGATTGAGCAAATGCAAACCCTCCTTTGTTAAGGAGTCCAATCAATTTTGTCAATAAGGAAAAGTCAACTTAGGATTGTTGGCTGGGAAGGAATTGTTGATGCCAAAAAGCCAGAGGCTAGCTAGGATTCAGAGATTAAAAGGCATTATTCATCTTAAACAAAGGGCCAAAGTGGCTCAGTTTGACCTTTTCCATGTTTGGGCATTTGAGCTGCATGAATGATCCTTCTACTTTTCTATACAATCAATGGGAAGCTGGTCTTGCAGACTTTCAAAATAAAGGTCTGAAGGTCATTCAAAATAACAAAGACCTACAATTACAAGAGTAAGGAAGGTTGATGCTTAGATATTGCTGCCTTAAAATACATCAAAAAGTATTTTTGGGGGAGATGGGCGGTTGAAAAATTTAATAAATAAATAAAAATAAATAAATTTTATTTTTGTTGGACTATACCTAAAAACAAATTTGAATGAAGAAAATGTGAAAATATAAGCCACAATCCTCATCCTTATTTCAGTCATTGACCAATAAAATACATACAATAAAACAGACAACAGTATTACCCCTTTCGTCAATAGCTATTAGCAACCATATAAGCCACAATTAACTCAGGTAATTAAATTCCTCTTCTGCCTCAGTGTTGCTGAACTGGGTGTAATTGCTTGATACAACTGAAAACAGACTTTGGCCATACTTGCCCAAAAAATGTAGATGCCTGCTTTCAAATCAGAGCTGGATACTTGCAACAGGGCGACGTATGAATATATCTGAAATGTAAAGTGAGAGGTGCATCAAGGGAAGATGGCATTTTCCTTTGATGGTCTAGTTCTCTTCCTTGCAAGCAAGATCTGCAAAAAACAGACAATGGGCCATAATTACAGGGCAGATAGACTGCTGAGGGTTGGAAACCAAAAAGCAGCAGTCAGATACTTTTTTACTTTTAATCTAGGTTATTTTTTTATGGCACAGTGTGTTATGAAAATCTTCCTTACTTTGGTTAGCTTATTCAGTATATTGCATCAATCCAGAAAATGAGTCCATTCAGTAATTGGTTTCATGATATCATGTGAACACAACCAGCTTGGATATATACACTTTTTGCCCTATAATTGACTAGAGCTGAACAAAAATATCTCCAAAGGCATATTTCTCTTTCAGAGGATGGGTTTTGCTCACTTATCTAGCAAAAAGAAGGTCACTTACAGAATATTCTTCCAATATTTTCTGTTGCAGCTGCTATTTCTTTCCCACAAGACTCCAAGTGCATATGTAGGTCTTATGTATTGTGGAACATGCAAAATAATTCATAATACATTAGACTGATATGCATTTGGAGTCTTGTGGGAAAGAAATAGCCACAACAGAAAATAATGATTTGATTGTCACCATATTTGCTGTAACTAGTGGGTATGATTGTAGTTGCTGTGGAAGCAAACTAAGGAATGAAAGAAAGAAAAAAGGACAATTGCAAAAAATAAACAACAAATCTGAAGGGGAAAAAAGAAACTATATATATAAAACTCTGTGATTGTATATATACCAAGGACCACCGTATCAAACATGATTCCATCCAATCTATTCACCGAGAGAGGGCCTGTTGAGAATCCCAACCCAACAAGACATCCTTGGGGTGGGGCCTTTTCAATAATAGCCTTCACAATCTGGAAACCCTACCTTCAGAAGTACAATTGACTCTGACTTTCCTTTGGCTTAGAAATGTCCTGAAGGCCCATTGGAGTCTTCTACTCCAATGGGCCTTCAGCTTATAATATGTTTATTGGGCAACCATCATTTCCTATGCTGACCTATCTGACAGTTGACCAGTGGCTCATTTGATTTACATTTCATTGATTTGTTGAAACTATCACCATTTTTTAAAATGGTCCTTTATTACATTTATACTCCACCTTTTGTTCATTGGTAAATTCAGGTAGTTTCCTGCCCTCCTTCCCCAAATTAAAACCACCATTGCTATAATAATAATTGACTCCTTTTTAGCCTCAGAGTCTATCTTTGACCAGTACACAAACAACACAGGTAGGCTTCCAGTTTTGGTCACAATAACACCTAAATGTATTATGGAGGTGAGATGAAAGAGTTTTGTCTTCATTTGACGTGACTTAATCTAGCTACATCCACTTGTAGGAATCATAATATAAGCAGAAAGCACAGCCAAAAGGATGAAGAAACCCCTCTTATATAAGTGGCCAGGTCAAGTGGCCAAGACTTATCTAACAATATTTTCAGGATCTTAATCCATCAATGAACTCCCTTGTCATAGCCAGTAAGAACTGACATTCTATTATTTCAAACTGATATTATTCCTTTGATCTAAATTCCTGCTCTTGACATATCTAAGATCCTTTTTTCCATAAACAAAAACAATCACTGATCCGGTTAATGAATATCAACAAGAGATATCAGCTTCTTAAAATTAGGCTTTGTTGACCAGACATCACATGGAAATAGCTGTTGTCATTAGCAAAGAAAATGATGTCCCCAAACCAGTTTGTGGGATATGGCTTTTAGTTCATATTCTGATATGCAGAGTCATATGGTGGAAAGGGAAAGAAAGGAAAACATTTTCTGTGTTTACCCAATATATTGAATCATAAACTAACCCAGCAGACTAGGTTCACACAACACAATCCCCCCCAAAACCCCTCACTAATCAAGATTAAAACTAACTAAATTTAGCTTGCTAGGCCTTTCCTGACCTGATTAAATATGTTATATGAATACAGACAATAGGGCAGTTAAAAAACTTGACCTGAAACTCTGAACAACCACTGGTGTATGGACAATATTAAACTATCAGAATTATTTATCTGTCTTCATAGAACTTTGGTTCCTATATTTCTAAAAAAGGATTTTTTTTTCCCCAACCCATATTCTGGTATAGTTCTTTTGTGATTGCCTTCACTGTCTACATGTCAACAAAAGGACATATGTATATATGATTTGGGACAGAAGTGACCTAATCATCATTATTGTACCAGTTACTTCCATTTGGAGAACACCATCAGATCTGCCAAAATTGTGGATCCTGTGCCAGACTGGGAAACCTCTAACTGATCCTGGGTTCCGTATGGTGAAGAATATTCTTCTGCCATGATGGAAACTGAGCTGAGACTTTCACACGTTCTAAGACTTTTGAGTGCTGTTAACAGGCAAGAACTACATATGCAGAAATAATTACTTTTAAGTGTTAGGGCTTCATAAAAGATTAGAAAGTGGTGAGAGTTAGGGAAAATTCATTGAAATTGCTACATAGCACTAGGAGGTTGAGCCCAATAGCAAGAGAGAATTGGAATATATTTATATACAGTACATGATGGTCGTGTAAGAAAATTCAAAAGTTTTGGAAAAATGTTTTCCTTGAAACTGGGGAAATAATCAGAATATTGTGCTAGAGCCGAGATTAGACTTATTATCAGCATTTGAGGAAGAAATTAAAAGTGCTGCATAAAGAACGTATTATATTTTTGTTAGTGGCTGCTACACAATTTATCATCCATGTTTGGAAGAGAGAGAATTATCTGTCAGTGTCAATCTGGTTTGACAAATGTTGTCAAATAGCCTTAATAAAGATAGCCAGGGGGATGGGGTTGGGAGGGTGGGATAGCTGGGTTTGTTATAGCTTTACTGAACATGCACAAGGTGGCATTAATATATACCCCTCCTGATCCACATGGAGAAGATACTTCTTAGTTTAAAAAGAAACATTGAGCACCATATTATTCTATACTGTTATTATTAGTATATGAAATGTATTTATAACTTAGCTCATTGTATTTACTTTTAATACTACATAACTAACATGTAAGATTTGCAACCCTTTTCTTTATTCTATGGGATCTGATTGCCTGAAATATTTTAGTGTGGACTAATTCTATTTGAAACCAACAATTATGCCCCATTTTTAGAAAAATAAAGCAGTGTCTGAGAATTCTCTGAAACTAACTGATTTCATACTATGGAGTGATATGAACTGGAAAATGACCTTCATTTGAGGGTATGGTATCTATCCATATTTTCTTTGTCACCCTCACTAGAACAAATCTGGCATTGGTGCCTAAGTTTTAATACACCAATGTTGTTAGAAGTAAAACAAAAATAGCACTGTGGTTATAACTTATGCCTGGAGATTCTTTTGCTTGTTTTCCCACTTCTCTTTCTGTTTTGGTTGCAAATGTTCATTCATTTAAGATAAGATGTCCAGCAGCATCCATAACAAATCATGATGACATCAAAGCAATGACAGGATCATGATAATGCCATTGTGCAAATGCCATGATTATGTACTTGCTTCACTATCTCATGCGAGGACATAGGCCATGGTGGATGTCAGATCAAATCCAAATCAAATCAAGCCTCTATCATGGTGATAGGACAAGCAATTGGATACAGATAAAACAGATGAAAGTGAAAAAACACCTCTTCAGCTAGAAAGAAATCAGTTCAACTTTTCAGATGCAAGAGAGATGGATGGTACATATTTTAAATTTTTAAAGTTTTAAATTTTGGATGTTTTATGTGTTTTAGATATATTTATAGTTTTAATTTTTTTGTAAGTTGCCCAGAGTCCCCTATTGTGGGGGAGATGGGCGGGGGGAGAAATCCAATAAACAAACAAATAAATAAATAAATAAATAAATAAGCACAAAGTTGGGCAATTCAGGAATGAATGAATGAATGAATGAATGAATGAATGAATGAATAAATAAATAAATAAATAAATAAATAAATTTGCACAATGGTCAGATAAGAGAAGTGACAAATAGAAGTCATGCTGTCTGCCAGGGATTTTTTTCCAGGATTGGATGTATAAAAGTCAAGATAGGATGGATTCCCTGTAGAAGTAGCAATAACAGAGTATATGGCTCAAGGCAGCCAAGAAAAAACCCAATAGCTGATCAAACA